TGTTTCAATTCTAAGCGAAGGCCCAGCAACAACCTTGGAATCCATGCCACCTCTCTGAGGTGAGGAGGCTGGCTGCCTAGGGCAGCCTGCCATTCCCAGTCTGCTTAGCAGGTGCTCCTTCATGCAGAGGTCAAGGGCTCAGCACATCCGGGAACCACCTGGTAGCTGTCACTTTCAAATTGGGCTCCTTTCATTTGGGGGTGGAGGTGCAATGAGGGAGTGTGAGTTTCCTGGGGTCTCTCTGGCAGGTCTATAACTTGACCCAGGAATTCTTCCGGCATGGTAAACCAGTCAACGCTGAGAGTCAAAACAGCGTGGGGGTGTTCACCCGGGAGGAGGTGCGCAATCGCATCAGGGATGACCCTGACGACCCGGAGGCCACCAAGCGCCTGAAGCTTGCCATGATCCAGCAGTACCTGAAGGTATCTTTGCTTTTAAGTACAGCTGTCAGAGTGAAGAAGCCTGATTCTGGGGGAGTCTGGGTCTGAGGAGGGCTGTGCTGCTCAGAGTTCTTGTTCTTTGCCCAACCTGGCTCTGGTGTCATTGGCTTCTCTCTGGGTCCTCCCACAGGTGGAGAGCTGTGAGAGCAGCTCACACAGCATAGACGAGGTGTCCCTGAGCGCCTTTGGGGAGTGGACGGAGATCCCCGGTGCCCACCACATCATTCCCTCAGGCTTCATGCGGGTTGTAGAGCTGCTGGCTGAGGGCATCCCCTCCCATGTCATCCAGTTGGGGAAACCGGTCCGTTGCATTCACTGGGACCAGGCCTCAGCCCGCCCTCGGGGCCCTGAGATTGAGCCCCGGGCTGAGGGCGACCATAATCATGACACCGGGGAGGTTGGTCAGAGTGGAGTGGGTCCCCAGGGGGGCAGATGGGATGAGGATGAGCAGTGGCCGGTGATGGTGGAGTGCGAGGACTGCGAGGTGATCCCAGCGGACCATGTGATCGTGACGGTGTCGCTGGGCGTGCTGAAGAGGCAGTACACCAGCTTCTTCCAGCCAGGCCTGCCGGCAGAGAAGGTGGCTGCCATTCACCGCCTGGGCATCGGCACCACCGACAAGATCTTCCTTGAATTCGAGGAGCCCTTCTGGGGCCCCGAGTGCAACAGCCTGCAGTTCGTGTGGGAGGACGAGGCAGAGAGCCGCACCCTCACCTACCCGCCGGAGCTCTGGTATCGCAAGATCTGCGGCTTCGATGTCCTCTACCCGCCTGAGCGCTATGGCCACGTGCTGAGTGGCTGGATCTGCGGGGAGGAGGCCCTCGTCATGGAGAAGTGCGACGATGAGGCTGTGGCTGAGATCTGCACGGAGATGCTGCGTCAGTTCACAGGTGTGTCCTCTGCCGCCCTTTCCACCTGACCCCTTTGTCAGCCAGCTTCCCCCGAAGACCCTTGGCAGCTCTCCCCTCCCCAGACTGTGAAACCCAGATGGCTGTGGGCACCGGGAGCCACTGCAGGGCACCAGCTTGGCTCCTAAATTGCTGACACTCTCACTTCAGAGCATGAAACTCTAAATGGGTGCTGTGTTTTCTTCCCCTTCTAAGGACTGATGGCAAAAACACTGCCCATTCCTTTCCCATGGTCTTCCTAAGAGTTGGATTTGATTTTATAATCTGATTGTTTTAGTAAAACATTTTCTACACATATTTTCAGGAGAACTTAACAGGGATCCCTGACATTAGAATGGAAAATATGATTATCTGTAATTTTTTTTTTTTTTTTTTGCAGTGCTGGGCATTGAACCCCAGCCTTGTGCTAGGCTAGTACTGTACCAACTGAGCTACATTCCCAGCTCCTATAGTTATTTTTAAGATAGGAAAACTAAGACCCTGAGAGATGGAATGTTTTGCTGGGGGGTCACCCAGAGGTGATGAGTGGGCCTCCCTCCCCCTCTCCTCTTCCACCCTCAGTGCTTTCTCCAGGCAGCCTGATATTCCTGGAGCCCTGGAGGTGGGGTGGAGTTGTTCATTCTGGAATGCCTTCTGTATGTATGCAGCTTTGTTTCTTATCCTTCCTCCTCTTGGCTCTTCTGACTCCCCAACAGGGAACTCCAACATTCCAAAACCTCGGCGAATCCTGCGCTCAGCCTGGGGCAGCAACCCCTACTTCCGAGGTTCTTATTCATACACACAGGTGGGCTCAAGCGGGGCAGATGTGGAGAAGCTGGCCAAGCCCCTGCCCTACACCGAGAGTTCTAAGACAGCGGTGAGTGGGGATGTGTTTGGTGAGAGGCCTGGGAGTGGGTGTGTGGGTATTTCGTGTGTGTCTGGCCCAGGTTGAGGAAGGGTATGAGGTAGTGTTCACTAAGGTGTGCTAAAGTCAGGCAGCAGTGGAGTGGCACTTAAAATGAAAGAGAAAACAAGACAGTGTGCGCTTAACATCTGGAAGAAAAAAAAATGGAATCAAATTGAAACTTTAAATGCTTTCTTGGGATGATAAAAACTGAGCCATTTCATTCTGTTAGTTAATATGGTAGCAGTTAGCCGTATTTGGTTTAAATTAACCAGAATTTAAATTAATAAATTAAAAATTTCGTTTCTTGGGTGCATTAGTCACATTTCAAATTTAATAGCCACATGTAGCAAGGGGCTATCCTATTGGATTATGCAGCTATAGAATTTTTCAGTGTCATAGAATGTTCTATTGGATAGCACGGATTCAATGGAAATATTTTCCCACCATGTTTTAGAAAATAAAATTAAGAACACGACCCACTCCAAAATTATGTCACCTGTACACTAAAAAAAAGGTAAATTTGAGAGAAATATATATTTTTGTTTCCACAAGGTGGATTTTTAGTTTTCCCAACTAAGTGTACATATAACAATAAATGTTAAAACCCCCACAGAATTAAATTTAAGACAATTCTTTGGAAAATTGGCGAAAGAAATTTCAGTCAACCAAGGTTTACACTGTGTCTGCCCTGCTGTGCTCAGAGGGAGAAAGGAAAGGGGTCTTCAGAGAGGTCCCTACCACTGCCATAGCTATCTTTGCAAAAAGTAAACCTCTTATCACCTGCCTCAGGACTAGTGCATGTAAAAAGGCAAAGTAAAACAAAAATAACTGTGGCTTAAACAAGACAACTTTACTTCCATCACACAAAAGGAAATCTGGAGGTAGGCGTCAGGACCTAGTATTATTAGTTACTGACTTTTATCTTCAGGGCCACCTTATGGTCCAAGAAGGGTGCAGAGGCTCTGGATCTTACATCTGCCTCTTAGTCTAGAAGAAGGAAAGGCAGATGGGCAAAAAAGGGAATCCTTTGGAGCTGAGACATGGATCTCTAAGCAACCATGCATTTGCATCTCATTGGCCAGCACTTTGCCATGTGACCACACCTTGATGATGGAGAGGCTGGGCCACATCATTTTTATTTGGGATGACATCTGGCCCAATTAAAAATTAGGGCTTTATAATTGAGGAGATAGAGGAGAAAGGGTGGATGTGGGAACAGGTGTCTGCTACAACATCCTTCCCGCCATGATGGATTAAAAACTGCATTCGATCAGGCTCCACAGCTGATGCCTTGGCATTTGCAGTTTGAAAGGCATCAGAATAAAGTCCACACACAAGCTTGGGATGCAAGAACTTGAACTTTGCCTGGACTTTACCAAGAGAGCCTGCTTTCTCCAGGTTGATTCCTGGATATACAAAAAATTGCACTTTCCCCCAGTGTGGAGCATTTTGCTCCCACTTTTACCTTTCTTTGAATGTTCTTTGCCTCTATTCATCCAGCATCTTCTGAGAACTGGCCCAAAGGTCCTCTCCTCTGGGAAACTCTGTGGGATCCACCAGGCCTCTTTTCTGAGCCGTTGGCACCTCATCCAAACACCTACCACATCATGTATGACCGTTGTTTAGTAATTGGGTTTCATGTCTGGCTTCCCCACCAGCATGGAAGCACCACAAAGCAGCAGCCTGCTCACCTTTTATCATCCAAGTGCCCAGAACAGTCCCTGGACCTTGATAGGGGCTCCATAAAGGTTTGTTAAATCACCACCTGACTTTATCAATTGCTTATGTTCTTCCAGGTTCTAAGTGCTTTAGATCCATGATTTCACTCAGTCCTTGTAACCACCCTCAGAAGTAGGAGGTACAAACACATTGGGCCAGTGAGAAAATCAAGGCTCAGGGAGGTTAAACCCCTTGCCCTGTTTGCTACTAAGAGGCTCACAGAGCATTTGAGACTGCAGAGCCTGGACTTCTAATAGCCTCAGGTCAGAAAGAACCAAGGTCTGGATGTTTGGGGAAGAAAGAGGGGAAGGTGACCAGGTGGGATGTGTAGCTCCTCATCCTGTGGAAGCAGCAGAACCTGCATCTTAGATGCCTGCCCATTCTTCTGTGATTTGTGGTAGGGATGAGGGTTCTAGGGCATTCAAGAAGCTCTTTGGCCTCTGCTGCTCCTTCATCCTCACCTTCCCTTCCCCCTACCCAGCCCATGCAGGTGCTGTTCTCTGGTGAGGCCACTCACCGCAAGTACTACTCCACCACCCATGGTGCTCTGCTCTCTGGCCAGCGCGAGGCTGCTCGTCTCATCGAGATGTACCGAGACCTCTTCCAGCAGGGGACCTGAGGGCTATCCTCACTGCCTAGCGAGCATGTTCCTTAAAGAACAACTAACTCGTGACTGCCAGCCCCTGCCCCTTCCCCCCTTGTGCCCCTAACTTCCCCATCCTCTGTAGAATGGATTTTAATCTTTGGTAGAGCTAGATAATCTGGCTGGCCTCAGACCCAGCCCTGTAGCTGTTCCTTTTCTCCAGACCAGGTGGTGACCCTGTGGGGCCCGTTGATTTACCTCTGTGCTGGGATGCTGACTCCTGCACCTCCCCTTCTCCCTCCTTGTTATTGCAAGTGCCTTCGATACTTTGCATTTTGGGATAATAAAAGAGGCCACCCTTCCTGTGCTCCTCAGCTTCTCTCCTCAGTTCTCCTCAGCCTCTGCGTGTGTGTTTTTAATCACACCTCCTTTGAGGGGGGGTTGGTGGGGGGAACCATGGCCTGACGATGTCCCCAGAACGGTAGGTGCTTGCATTTACTGGAGGGGATGTCCCCCTCACCCTATTTGTGGCTAAACAGAGAGCTTCCTCAGGAATATAGGCCTCACCCTGCCCAGTGCTGGCTCCTTCAGGATGGGCCTAGGTCGGCTTCATGGCCCTTTGCCAGACTTCTTGGAGCTTAATTGGATAATGAACTGCATGGAGTGAGGTGAGTTCCATGTGAGGAGACCCCACTTGTGGCTCCCTGCCAGGCTCAGATGTGTTCATTGTTAATCTGTTGCTGGTCACAGGGTGGTGGATCTGGCCCTTACAGAGGTGTCTTTTGAGCCTCTGGGAATGTGGATAACATGACCATTTTTTTTTTTCTTTTTTGGTGGCAGGGAGATATCCTGAGTGTGATCCATCTGCTGTGTTCCAAGGATCTGCCACTTATGGGAGGTGGGGATAGAATTTTCTTCTCTTTTTGCTGAGTGGAACATGTCCTTGCACTTATACTCCACCCACACACCTATAGGTGCTTCTTGTGCATATGTAGACATACAGCCTCCATCCATGTACCTATACATAACATGAACCTACATATACACATGCACATACCTGAGTTTATCCACGAGAAGTGTTTATAGAATTTTTGCCAAGGATCCATACCCATCTGCTGGCATAACTTAAAAATTTTTATATATATATATAACATTTTTTTGAACAGAGGAATGTATTCATGTGATTCAAGCCCAAAAGCCCTTTGAATTGTATATTTTTTGAGGGTGGGGGGGTACTGGGGTTTGGACCCAGGGGTGCTTAATCACTGAGACACATTCCCAGTTCTTTTAATTTTTTATTTTGAAATGGGTCTTGCTAAGTTATCTAGGACCTTGCTAAGTTGGTGAGGTGGGCCTGAACTTGTGATCCTCCTGCCTCAGCCTCCTGAGCTGCTGGTATCGCAGGTATGTGTCACTGAGCCTGGTGAAACAACCCTTGTTATACCTGTCCAGAATCACCATTGCCCCTCCATATCCCCTTGCTATTATGTCAGGTGTTTCTCTTAGATATATCAATATTAAGATACTTTTCCTTCTTTTTATACAAAAGTGCCAAAGTATTCATCCTGTCCTGCATTCTGCTTTTTTAGATTAACAGTATACACTGGACATCTTTCCACAGTAGTACTTAAACAGACAGTGTAAATTTAGACATTACTTTGGTTAAAGCAGGTCTGTCTCCTTCCTGACTTCGTGCCTTGGAGGCACCTGTCCACCTCTCACCCTCCCCAGTTCCTGGTTTTTCCCACCAACTGCAGTGGGATGGACAGAAGTAAACCCATGGCATAAATATGGGGGAAGAAAGTAATACAGGTTCTCGGGGTCACAGGCATAGGAATTGTAAGGGACTCCATGAGGATGAGAAGGCAGGAAATGTTTCTTCGGTGACTCCATGTCAGGTATAGGTAAGAGGGAGGGAGAGAACATTCACTTGGTGCCAGTCACCCTCTGGCAGGGTGTCAGTCATAAATGATGGGCACATTGTCTCTTGATTTGTTATGGATGCCAACTTTGGCTGGAAGGGTGACTTATCCCTGAGGGTAAGTGAAGTCTCAGAGTGGTTAATAAGTGTGCCCATTGTCACTCAGGTAGGTAGTGATACTGAGACATACACTGAGATCTGCCTGACCCCACAGTCAGGCTCATTCTATTGTATCGTACTTGATGAAGAAAAGAGATTGAAGCCACCAAAGCAATCTGAAGCCATTGCCAGAGAGGGTGGACACGGGCACAGCCTCCCTAGGAGGCTGTGCGACTGATTCTACCAGGGCTGGTCTTGTGCTTGCTAGCATTTTCCCTCCCTGATTTCCATCCAAGAGAAATCTGAGTGCAGATGCCCACAAAAGATGTGTACCAAAATTTTCATAGAAATGAAGTTTACAATAACTAGAAATTGGACTCATCCCAGCTGTCCACCCATAGAAAAAAATGGATGAACTGTAGTACATTCACACAATGGAATATTACTTAGCAATAGAATAAAATAAATGACTATTTGCAACAATGTGGATTATCTCAAAGACATGGTTCATTGTTGAATGGAAAAATCCAGATACAAGGCTATGTCCTGGATGATTTCTTTTATATAAAGTTTAAGAACCTGCAAAATGAAGCTATGGCATTAGCAGCGAGGAGATGGGCATAGTTAACAGGAGTTCATGCATTGGTAAAAATGCAAGTCACATACTGAATATTTATGCATATTTTTGTATTGTGTGACTTAATTTAAAAGATTAAAGTAGGGTCTAAAGACTTCCTCCCCATTCTCCCAACCCACCCAACCCAAAATGTGCTGTGTTTGTCTAGCTAATTTCTTTCTTGGCAGAGACAAAGCATTCTAAGATCCGATAAAGGGAGGAGGGACCTACTTAGGCCCATTGGCTACTCAATGATAAGGGTTGACCTGGAATTCATATAGAATGTCCCTGCTTATTTGATCCATTATTCTGTGTGTCCCCTCATCTTCTCAGTGCCTGCAGATGTTCAAGAGAGGTGGGGAGTGTTTCATAACAGAGGAAATCGAGGTTCCCAGAAGGACTTGTGTGCGGCTGAGCAAGTCCACACAGTTTAGAGAGGATGTGATCTTGTGGGAGTGGGAACAATCCTGGGAGGAAGCCAGCGGGGACCCTTGTGACACACAGGAGGGGTCAGGTTGGAGGAGGGGTCAGGTTGGAGGAGAGTCTGCCAAAGCAACCAGCCCTCCAATGTGCTGTTCCACCTCAAATAATTGCATAATGTAGGTAGCGTTTATGATTTACAGCTCGAAAAGCAGATTCCAGGCAGATGAACAAAGAGGAGCAAGAACCCTTCAGCAGCGTGGAGCAGCTAGACACCTGGAACCCAGGATGCATTCCATGTGGTGACTAAGTTCCTGAAGCAGATGTGGACAACCAAACATTGATGGACAACCAAAGGGATCTATCAAATGTGGCATGCTCAGGCCATCACTCTTTCCAGCATTGCCATATAGTTCCCATTGCCTGAAAGGTCACCTGGAGAGAAGTTCTTTCCTGCACTGGATTCTATGTGGACTTGGTTGGTTTCTTGTGCTTTGGGTATCAGGGAATCCATAGTCACAGCATTCAGTTGTGGCTTTGGATGCCTCAGAAATGTGCCCTCAGAAGGCTTGGGGCACTATGTCTTCCTGACTTTGCTGCTATATGACAATGAGTTATCTTCTACTTTATGGAAACTGCCTGCAGTCTGCCCCTCCCACAAGTATAGCACTGGAACACCTCTGGTTTGAGCCACTGTTAGTCAGCTTTCTGTTGCTGGGACAAAATACCTGAGGTAATTAACTTAAGAGGAAGAAAGGTTTATTTTGGCTCAGAGTTGTAGAGATTTTGGTTCATTGGTCCCCTTGCTTTTGGCTGTGGTGGCACAGTACATTATGGTGGGAGCATATGTTGGAAGACATTTGCCTCATGGTAGCCTGGAAACACAGAGAGACAGGAAGGGATTGGGGTCCCAATACCCTAATGACCTAACTTCCTTCCATTGGCTCCACCATTTAAAGGTTCCACCACATCCCAGTAGTGTCATAGGCTGGTGACCAAGCCTTCAAAGCATGAGCCTTTGGGGACATTGGAGATTTATTCTAAGGCAGTCACCTTGCAGGACCAAGTAGAATGGGCTCAAGTGTAACCCTGAGGTGCAGAGTGAGGTAAGGGGATCTGCTGGCTCAATTCTTGAGATTTGCCTGTCTAATTAATGGTCTTCCAAACTTAATGGTAGATACGAGAGACTGGGTTTTCTTATAATGACTGGCTGGGCTGTTTGTTGAGTCTACTCCTGGCTTGTATAGGGAATCAAACCATCAACACATGAGAAGAGTGGTTGCCCTGCTAAGGTGACCAGGACATCTAACTTCATATTATGTATTTAATATAAGAAAGGAAGGACTTGGTCACTTCCCTGTTTGGATACAAAAGCCATTCTCACTTTCCATGATTCTAGAGGTGGTTGGTTGACATTGAGTTTGCAGGAATGTTCAAAACCTAGACCTCAGGAATGGAAAGTGTTGGGCATATTTTATTTCCGTAAACTCAGTATTTGTACAATTTAATCTATTGGATGGGGTGTTCCCCTCTACATTTCACTATAGATTCAACCTCTTTTTTTTTGTCTTAGATATGCTACTGTCCCCATTACCATACCTGGAGAACGTGAGGTCAAACAGTCATCTCTCCATCCCCAGCTCAAGGCCATGTGGTCACTTTATGTCTTTCTCGTTTGTGAGTGGCTTCAGTGTACTTTATGGCACCCTGGACTATTGGTTCTTCCTTTGCTTAAATTAGTTTGGTTTAGGTTTCCTTCACTTATGATCAGTCCTGACTAATTCAAATTGGTTCCAGAACTGGGGTTTTACATTTGATCTACCATTTCCCTTGGTCTGTCTCCAGTACCTTCAACTCTTTTGACCCTTGTTCTATTAAAGCCAGTTAACCTAAGCCTTGGATCAAGCCACAGCTATTCCTGGGCCACTGAAGGGGCTTCTGGAGAAAAAACACAGAGCCACACCTGCTGGCCAAAGCAAAGCAAAAGGAAGCAAATGAAACAAAACATCATGGCACTGCCTACAGGATCTTCTGTGGATGTGATGTGTCCAAATCAGAACTCTTTATTCTGCTGCTTCCCAGATTTCAGCTGCCTCTGGTCTTCTCCACTTGAGAACCATTTGTGGAACCACCATGTGGCTCTTTGCAAACACCTTGAGTCATTGTTGACTCATCCTGTTTTTCTTTCATACCACATCTGATTGTTAGATTTACCATCATTGAATCTTGTTCTTTCATACCACATCTTATGGTTAGATTTACCATCACTGAATCTTGTTGGCTATCCTTACAAAACATCCTGAATCTGCTCTTCCGACTGCTTGCATGTGTGCTCTAGATAGCTATAGTAGCCTCTTATGTGATGTCCCTTCTTCCACATCTACCCTGTTAGCCTGTGTGAGCCTTTTAAAATACCAGTTCAGCCTTGTTGTCTCCCTGGTTTCCACCAACATCCATCACACCAGGACGAAGTGATCTCCAACACCCTACCTATGTGATCTATCCCCTGCCTCTCACCTCCTGCCCCTCTCCTTCCATTGGCCCTAGCTGTTCTCCTTGTCTGGAATATTTCCCTTTGGAAATTTGCAAGGCTTCTTCCTCTCTGTCTTCAGATCTCTACTCAGACGTCACTTCTCTGGGAAGCCTGCCCTGAGCATCCTGTTTTCACAGCCTCCCCCTTCTCTGTCCTCTCCCCATGACTGTTTCCTTTTCCCTGATGTTATTTTTTTTTTGTGTGTATGTGTTTACCTATTCATTTGCTTATCCCTCTTCTCACTATAATATAAAATTTCATGTTACCCATTATAAGTAAGTTTGTTTCATGTTCACTGCTGCCTATGAAGTATGTCCAAAATAGTGCCTGGCATAATAGTAGGCTATCAATAAATATTTGCAAAATGAATGAACAAGGAACTGAAAATACCAAGCTAAATGGTGCCACCACAGAGACCCACCTCCAGTGCTGGTGACAGTCCTGGCTTTCCCTTGTCAGCTCTCTCCTCTCAAGCTGCTCATACTCCCCTCTCCCCACAACTTCACCCTTATCACTGTCACCAGGCAGTGTGGCCTCCTGCTTCATAGACAAAGTAGACCCCTTAGAGGTCATGTCCTCACCCAGTTAACAAGTTCTCCAGCTTCACACCTGTCCTGCGGGACCTCCCTCCTGACACAATGGGAGATGAGGCTCTGCCTCTTAAGACCAGGGTGACCCTTCACCTGTGCATTCCTTGTTCCAAATATAGAGGCCTTGCTTCTTCCACTTCACTCTCCCCATCTCTCCACTCCATCCTTCCCATCCGTATTTCTGCATATCTGTCCCCCTGCCCTCCCTTTCTTTGCCTCCCTGGATAGTTAAGCTTCACAGCAGCATTTTCTATTTGCTTTTTCTGCATTCTCACTGTCCTCACCCTAGCAGTTGTTGGGAGGGATTCTCATATTTCAGAGAGAGACACACAAAAAAGGCCAGACTGACCCCCCCCCTTTCTCAATGGCTAAGAGGTGAGGAATAATCCAGTTCTTGGATCTCTAGAAGCAAATGCTCTATTGGGACTATAACCCACATCCTCTGGCGCCATCTGCTGGCCATATCAGAACAAAACCTTGCTGCGCTGAGAATGGAGTCTGGATTCTTTGAGCTTTTCAAAATCCAAACAAATGAACCAACACAAACAATCTTAACTATAAAAGGAGGCCTTATTGTTCCCTAAAGTAATTTCTTTTGTTCGTTTGTTCATTCATTTTTTTTTGTTTGTCCATCAAATGTTAATGACTTACTTTTGTATGCCAGGCGCTGTGAGGAGAAACTTCATGTGTCTTGGTGGTGGTGGTGGGGGGTACAGTACCAGGGATTATACTTAGAGGCACTTAATCACTGAGCCACATCCCCAGCCCTATTTTGTATTTTATTTAAAGACAGGGTCTCACAGTTGCTTAGCACCTCGCCATTGCTGAGGCTGGCTTTGAACTTGCAATCCTCCTGTCTTAGCTCCTGAACTGCTGGGATTATAGGCATGTACTCTGTGTGTGTGTGTGTGTGCGTGTGTGTGTGTGTGTGTGTGTTTACATGAAAGATTATTTAATGACAGTGCTTTTGGAATTATATGTCTCTAAACACCACAATAGTCCTACAATACAGTTTGTTTTGGGTGGAAGGTGGGGGATTTGGTACAGAAAGGCTTACTTAAATAACAGTTGGGAAAGAAAGTTCCTTTGTGTTTATGTGGTTTGCACTATAAGTTTGGTTTAGGGGCAGGGTGAACTGAAAGATAAATGGTTCTTAGCTACAAAACATACTCAATTGATCAAAATTGATTAAAGAACAAATCTACATTTTTAGGTGATCTTTCAAAATGAGTTCTCTGTTCTGAATTACCCATTAACTACTGGGGATTCAAACTCACTCCCTTATTATAAAAATGCATATTCATGCTGGGCATGGTGGTACATGACTGTAATCCTAGTGGCTCGGAAGGTTGAGGTAGGAGGATTGCAACTCAAAGCCAGCCTCAGCAACTTAGCGAGGCCCCAAGCAACTTAGCAAGACCCTAAATAAAATATAAAAAAGAACTGGGGATGTGGCTCAGTGGCTAAGTACCCCTGGATTCAATCCCTTGAATGAATGAATAAATAAATAAATATTTATAAAATGTTTATGGTTGTGGTGTTCTAGTTACAAATAGCTTCTACTTTTCTAATATAGAATTTCACTTTTGGGAAACTTTAATTATGCTTCAAGAATTAAGTTTACTAAATCAATAAATAAAATATGTGAATTTATCTTGTCCCCCAAGTGAAGCTGGACTTATGGGTTGTATACGATTCTTTTATGTTTGGACATAAGTAATAGAGGTGTAAGGAAGAAGTCTTTGGTATGAATATATACTTACTGTGTCCCAGTAAATCTGGCTTCCTTTGGGGACAAAATAAGGTCTCATTAAAAAAAAACTTATTTATTGGAATAGAATGGCATATGTAACTCACAGATCATGAGTGTACAACATGTAAAATTTTGAACCTCTCATGTAACTAGAAACAGAAGTGTCCCTTGTGCCTCTCCCAGTCATTACTCCCACCAAGGGTGTGTTATCTTGTTACTGTAACAGAATACATGAGATAATAAACTTATAAAGAGAAAAGGATTATTTTTGCTTAGAGTTTTGGAGATTTCAGTCTGTGGTTGAGTAGACCCATTGCTTCTGGGCCTGTGATGAGGCAGTACGTCATGTGGTAGAGCAAACTACTCACCTCGAGGCAACCGGGAAGCAAAGAGAGGGACAGGAAGGGGTCTCAGTATCTTCTTCAAGGACATGTCCCCAATGATCTAACTTCCTCTCAATAGGCCCCACCTCCTAAAGGTTCCACCACCTCCCAGTAGTGCCACATACTGGGGACCAAGCTTTTAACACGTGAGCTTTTGGAGCTCTTTTAGAACCAGACTACAGCAAAGTAGTTTGAGACTTTTCACACTTTAGTTCGTGCCTATTTTTGTACTTTATGTAAACCTACATTTTTATTATAATCAAATCTCTGAGGTTCATCCCTGTTTGTGTAGCTGTCATTAGTTTATTCTCATTGTCAGATTATAGTTCACTGTATGATGTGCTAAGATTTATATATGCCCTCTGGTGATGAACACTGGATTTGTTTCAAGTTTTTGGCTATTCAAAACCATGGCTATGAAGATGCTACTCTATGTCTCCTGGTGAATGTATAAATGCATTTCTATTGGGTACTTACCTAGGA